AATTTTGCTCATGTCTGAAGTCTTCCTCAAATATCTGGTGTTCCTTAACTCAGCACTCATATTTAAGAGAGAGCCAGCTGGGCACAGTGGCTCACATGTATAATCCCAGCACTTTGGGAGGTCGAGGCGGGTGGATCACTTGAGGTCAAGAGTTCAAGACCAGCCTGGGGAACAGGGTGAAACTACATCTCTACTAAAAATAAAAAATTAGGCTGGGTGCAGTGGCTCACACCTGTAGTCCCAGCACTTTGGGATGCCAAGGCGGGCAGATCACCTGAGGTTAGGAGTTCGAGACCAGCCTGACCAACATGGAGAAACCCCGTCTCTACTAAAATACAAAATTAGTTGGGCATGGTGGCGCATACCTGTAATCCCAGCTACTCGGGAGGCTGAGGCAGGAGAATGGCTTGAACCCAGAAGGCAGAGGTGAGCCAAGATCGCACCACTGTATTCCAGCCTGTGTAACAAGAGCACGACTCCATCTCAAAAAAAAAAAAAATTTAGCAAGGCATGGTGGCAGGCACCTGTAATCCCAGCTACTTGGAAGGCTGAGTCAGGAGAATTCCTTGAATCCAGGAGGCAGTGGTTGCAGTGAGCCGAGATGACACCATTCCACTCCAGCCTGGGCTGAGACAGTGTAAGAAAGACTCTGTCTCAAAAAAAAAAAAAAAAAAAGAGAGCTACCAACAAGCTGGTGAGCTAGCTGCTCTAGTACCTTGTCAGGAGCAGTGTGATTCAGAGAAAACCCAGTTTCTTTTTTTCTTTGAATAATGCCCAAATATGGTTATTTTTTTTTCAGGGGATCGGTTTCCTCAGATATTCAGATCCTAGAGGGTAGGTTGGGCTCAGTGGCTCACGCCTGTAATCCCAGCATTTTGGGAGGTCAAGGTGGGCAGAATACAATGTCAGGAGTTCGAGACCAGCCTGGCCAACATGGTGAAACCCCGTCTCTACTAAAAATACAAAAAATTAGCCAGGCGTGGCGGCTGGCACTTGTATTCCCAGCTACTCAGGAGACTGAGGCAGGAGAATTGCTTGAATCTGGGAGGCAGAGGTTGCAGTGAGCCGAGATGGTGCTATTGCACTTCAGCCTGGGCGACGCAACACTCTGTCTCAAAAACAAACAAACAGATCTTAGGGGGTAAAAGTGAGTTGCCAGCCTTCTGGGACCAGCTGGCTGGGGGAAGGGGGCTGGCTGGAGACTTCATTGCTCCGTATAGAAACCTTCACTAAAGACCCTTGATTTCATTATGGACCCTCATCCCTGCTCTCAGCTGGGCTTGCTGTCCGGGGCCAGAAACTGCTTTGGTCTTTCCCCAGTCTTCTCCCAGCATGATGGGTGGGCCTGGGATGGTGGGGGTTACCAGTGTGGGGGAGGGAGACTAGCTCTGCAGGTATCTTCGCTCCTTCAGAATCTTTGAATCCATCTTCCTGTTGCACCTCTGGCTTTCTTTTTTTTTTCTTTCTTTTTTTTTTAGATGGAGTTTCACTCTTATTGCCTAGGCTGGAATGCAATGGTGCAATCTCGGCTCACTGTAACCTCCACCTTCTGGATTCAAGCAATTCTACTGACTCAGCCTTTTGAGTAGCTGGGATTATAAGTGCCCGCCACTGCACTTGGCCTTGATTTTTAACTTGAGTTTACACCTATGATACATAAGCCTCCATATTTACTCTTGCCCTGGGCCTCTGTAAATGCCTACACCTCTTCTCTCCTCAAATCAACATTTGATTCCTGGGTTGAGACAGAAAAAATACAAATTGAGTGTAGATTATTATTGTCAGGAAGTAGAAAGTGCTCAAATAACACTGGGGACATTTCAAAAGGACACCAGGGCCAACCTGAAGGGCTTTCCCATTTGTCAATTTTGGGATAATTTGAGCATCAAAATAAATAATGAGGCCATGCGAGGTGGCTCACGCCTGTAATGCCAGCACTTTGGGAGGCCAAGGCAGTTGGATCACCTGAGATCAGGAGTTCAAGACCAGCCTGGCCAACATGGCGAAACTTTGTCTCTATTAAAAATACAAAAATTAGCCTGGTTGTGGTGGTACGTGCCTGTAATCCCAGCTACTCAGGAGGCTGAGGCAGAAGAATGGCTTGAACCTGGGAGGCAGAGGTTGCAATGAGCCAAGATCATACCATTACACTCCAACCTGCATGATGGAGTAAGACTCCACCTCAAAAAAAAAAATAATAATAATAATGATAGAAACTGATTACTATTCCTTAAGTAAAATAGAAAAGTATAGGTCCAGGCAAGATAAATAAATATGAAAGTAATGAATAACAATTCATTAGGCCGGGCGCGGTGGCTCCAGCCTGTAATCCCAGCACTTTGGGAGGCCGAGGC